CTATTCTTACTCAACTCAGAATAGTCCTACTTCAGACATCTCCCCTAACTACTCTCAATTTCTTCCAGCAAAGGCCATACCTGAGCTTATTTTTCTTCTGAGGTCTTAGCATCTGAACGTGTATCCATTCAAATAGAGAAACATGTTTACATCTGCAACATAACACCTCTTTTTGGCCTTTCTACAAGTAGGAATTTTCACCAGCTATCAGAAAGAGTCCCAATTCAACAGGTTCAAAGGTCCCTTAAGGGTGGATACATTATGCTTATATCCTTCTTTAGTTCATTCTCCAGTTTGCTCTATACTCTGTCGCAAATTATTTCCCTCAACACAGCTCTACGACCTGCTTCTCCCCCATTCTAAATGTCAATTACTCCCCAAAATCTATGAATGACCGAGCCTCAGCTCTTCTTGGCCCTCCAACTACCATTCTAGTTATATTCTCCATTAACCACATTTTACCCTACACTCCTGCCTTGGATAGGCTTTCGCAGTTGTAAGCCATGAATGCCTAACCCAAACAGCTTAAACAATACCAACAACAATAATATACCAGTATACTGGCTCATACGACTGAGAACATATCTGGGTGGGATTGGATCAGATGCAGCCCAGTCCTAAGGCTCAAAAATGTTCTTGGGCTCTGCTCTGTCTCCAGCTACTGCTATTGATTGTCCAGTTTAAGAAAGACTTTTCCTCCATTTCAGCAACAAAGGTAGACCTCTAAATGCTCCAGACCTGTATCACTTCAGCTCAGTTTTTGTAGAGGAAAGAGAGAATGCTTTTTTCCCAGCCTCCCTATGTAAAGACCCAGAGACTCTGATCAGTCCAGCTTGGTATCTCGTATCTAGCCCAGCCTAAGAGCATGAGGTTCTCAGACCAGCAGGACCAAAATTGCAACCAGAGAAAAGAATATGACAAAGCTTGCTGAAAGGAAATACCAGTCTACTACGGACAGTGGTACCCAAATTTCTAAGAATACAGATTTCCTTTCCTGTTTCAGACCCATGCACTTGGAATCTTTCAAGGCAAGCCCTGATAAATATCTATCTCCTGGACC